ACATTGTTTTTTCAGGTAAAACCTTCACAAGAGTGTATATCAATAATACCTTAATAAAAAATAAAAAATAAAAGAGCTTTCATGGAGGAAGACAAAACATTCACAAAGGAAAAGAATTACACTGTATCAAACTTCTCAACAATAACAATGACAATTAGAAGACATTCCAGCAATGCCTTCAAAGCTCTGCTGGGAAAAAATTGCCAACTTAATTTGAATAAAATAATGCCAGTAAACACAGGGCTAATGAAGACTTATTCAGATATGCTGGGTTTCAAAAATTTATATCCCACATATTCTTTTCCAGAAATGTATGTGAGGGATGTTCTGCTTTAAAGCAAGAAGCGGCTCAAGAAAGAATGAAGACCCAGCGAGAGGAGAACCAGAGTGCGAAGCAGTGACGCAAAGCCCGGCGCCGCGAGCGGCCTGGGACAGGCCTAGACGAGATCTGGGACACATGAAAAGAGAACCTGGGACAAGCCTTGTCTCAGGGGGAGACGTACTCATAGACATAAAGGAATAGTGATAAAAATGAACTGCGTGGGAAGTTGGTAAGAAAGAATAGTGGAAAAAAGAATGTTGACAGGACAAGAAAAAAAGCAATCCCTGACTCAAACACCAAGAAATACGGGAAATGTAATTATTCTCCTTGCCTTTGAATTCTTCTGTGAACCACTGTATCCTCACAACACAGAAATTATACATGAATTTCCACCTATGAAAACCAAGTTACAGGCAAAGTATAAAGGAGCAGAGTTCTCAACCTTGATGATGCCAAAGTAGAAGTGACAGACTTAAGGGCATAAAATGAAAAAGGAAATGTGAAAAGAAAAGCAGTTGTTCCAATATCCTCAATTTTACTACTTGGGAAACCAAGGTGGAGAATCTATATAACATGAAGAAAAGGTATATTATATTTACGTAAATTGCAAAGATAATAAAGAATCTATTGGAAAAGAAGATTCTTAGGAGCGAAATCCTCATTATTAGAGCAGAAATCAATCTAAAATTGATAAATCATAAAACTAGCTTATTATTCTGTCACAACAATATCACAAGACACAAGAAGAAATAATTTAAAAGTTTCCTTTGAAGAGCAGACTAAGGCATGAAGAAGCATTGCTGACCTTTATTATAAGCATTCTGGACCAACTGCCTTCTTTCAATTACGTACATCTATTACTTTCTTAATTTTTAGATGGAATTCCAAATAAACTTCAAGGAATACTGATCTTCTCATGAAAAACACAATGTGTAACACATCACCTAAATTTTCCACATAACATAGTAGATAAAACTTCCTCTTTTCCTAATATTCCTAAGTGCCAAGATAAATAATGAGGCTTTACAACCATCTTTAGAGGTAGTTATAAATGATCAAATAAGTCAAATTACAGGATGTGTATATTATTATCATCAACATTATTGGACCACCACTCCGACTTCCGACTTGAGTACTTCAACCAAGCTAAAATATCCATGAGCTCTCAATTTTAATAGCTATTTTATCAGAAATACACAAATGTATCTTTAATACTTTTTTTCTAGATTGCTTTAGGTTTTACTGGTGTTAGCATATATACAACAGCATTTCAAATCCCACAAACCTAAACTTAACTTCAGTTTCATTCCGTCTTTTCATTTGTGCTTTTCACATTAAACTTTTAGGTGATAAAAAGTTTATTTCATTATTTATTTTTTAATCTGTCAGGACCTGAAAGAGGAAAGGTATTTCTCAAAGTTTACATATAACACCAGATGCAAAAGGAACAAGTTCCTTATTACTAGTCAAAACAGACAATTTAGTTAAAAGAAAGAATGCCTATGCAAAACTACAAAGTAACAGGTTGGTACCAGGACCAAATACATAGATAAAACCAGATTCTAGGAGAAACACGCCAAATTTTAACCTGTGATGGAAGATTCAAGGGAGAGATCAAGAATGGTTATTAAAAAATCTTAAGCCATTAGTTTTCCTAAATAAAAAGGGCTTTTTTTGTTTTTTGTTTTTTTCTTTTGGCAGAGGTGGTAGCTTCTTTTTGTAAAGAGAAGGCAGCTGAGGGAGGATGCTGCAAGCATTATAGTTTATGGTGTTTAACATATGTATTATACTCAAGAAACAAACTTTTTATTTTTTAATAAAATATCTATAAACAAACGAGTATCTTCAAAATACAAATTACACTGTGAGGAAGCTTCTGTACGATGACATTATTTTTTTACTGTTGTGAGGCATCATTGTGGGGCAAATGGCAGAATTTCCAGAATCTTCGCCTGGCCTTAGGCCATTACCACTGCAGCCTCCCACAGCCTCCCACAGCCTCCAATGGATCCAGGGCAAGGGGTTTAAAGAGAACAGGCATTCTCTCCTCCCCTCCGTTCCTGGTTTGTAACAGGTCTGGTGTCAGTCAGCCACCGAGGACCCAGCCATGGAGTTCCTCCCCGAAGGGGGGGCAAGGAAGGAAAGAGTGCACCACTGGCTGCAGGGCATGCCCTCGGCAGCCACGGGGAATGGACAGAGCCTTGCCTGGTTAGCAAATTCAAACAAGCTGTGAGCAGTAAAAACGGTTTCTCCCAACCAGCCCTTCCCCTTGCCTTACACTTCAGTTTCACCAGATTCATAGGGGAATTTGTTACACTTGGTGTAGACTCTGCAGGCTCTGGTGAACCTGGTAATCCGTCCTTGTAGGAGCAATGTTTCAGTGAGCTGCCCTTATAGATGGTGGGGAAATGCCCTTACATGACCCCCCTATAGATGCTGGGGATTCACCCAGGGACCACCCCTGTGGGTGGTGGGGATTCACTCAGAGATTCCCCAGTGGGAATTTGGTCTGGGGTAAGGTGCCTCCTAGAGAAGTAGGTCCCTCCCCAGAATAGGGGAAGGGTGGAGACACCAGAGGTAGTGGAGTTGGCCCTCTGCAAAATAGAGGGCTCCTTAGGGGAACTGAGTGGCCACAGGGCGGCAGGACATGTGGGGTGGATGTTTCCCACTGCAGTGGAAAGGGTTATCAAAGAGAGAGACGAGTTGCGGTATGCTCTGACAAGGGAACAAAAGCTACTGAAAACCAAGGTCACACTACTGACAGACATACTAGTGGCATGGGAGGGGGGCAGCAGAAAAATGTGAGCTGCAAGAGGTGAAGGAAGGAGTGGTGCCTTCAGCCGCAGATGGTAAAGGAGACATCAGGGGGGGATGAGGGGAAGGAGCTGCTGCAGAGACCACTGCCTAAGGCACCAGCACCTCCTGTATTAAAAGCCTGCCCTGTTGCTGTTAAGAAAATAAAGACACAACAACTGTGGGTTCCTCAGGGAGAGGAGCAGCCCCCTCCCCAGGCTGTAGCACGCTCCATGCTCCCCTACACCCCGGCCAAGCTGGTGGATTTAGGCACCCAGTTTCAGCAGAAGCCCTCAGAGCCACTGCCCACATGGCTTTTGAGCCTTTGGGATTTAGGAGAAGAGGGGACTGCTCTGTCCGGGTTGGAAATGAGTAAATTGGCTTCCCTAACAACTCACCCCTCTCTCCAGGAGAGGCTGCAAAAAATGCCCTTCACACCCAGGGAACCATGCACTCTGGATTGGCTGACAGCAGCAGTCAGGGCAGTTTGGCCTAAATCAGGGTGATTTACCGTACTTCCCCACTAGCTGGCAAACATATGCAGAGCTCCAGCAGGCTTTAGGAAGCTGGCCTCTTGTGTGCTCCTGGACCAACAGCAGAGTGAACCCCAAAGATCAGTAGTGTACTCAAAACAGCTGGAAAGTAAGAGCATCTTATGGGGGAGTTTTTTGTAGTTATGGCCCATGCATTACCTCCCATAGCCCTATACATGGACCCACCCATAACTCCCACAGTGAGAGGGGTTACGGTCTGGTATGCTACTGTCACTGCTCTATCACAGACCACTCTCTTGCATGCATCCTACGTGATGGACAGGATTTGCCTATGCTGGTGTCATTAAAACATGTATCTTATTACCCTTAAGTTTATTCTCCTCTATTGGGCCCACCTTCTACCCACAGCTGCTGCTTGCTGCTACCGGTTCAGCTGGGGCCTCCTGTGGAATGGGCAAGCTATGGACGTAGAATCTGAGTAGAACTTTGAACCCAGCTGGATCCTCGAGCTCGAGGATCGTCATGATTTTATTTTCATGTATTCTATTACTATCTGTACCATAATTTCTGTTGTTACCGTATATTAGTCTAGTTGCAGTAGTACTCCAGCCTTCTTGCACAGGGGCCACTGTGGAAGACTGGGGGTGCGGAGACTGTAAAGTGAGAATTTGGAAGCGGTGGATTGTCGGGTAAATGACAGAATTTCTAGAAACTCCCGCCTGGCCTTAGACCATTACCACTGCAGCCTCCTGCAGCCTCCAGTGGATCCCGGGCAAGGGGTGGAGAGAAAATGGTTGTTCTCTCCTCCCCTCTGTTCCTGGTCCGGTCACTGGGCTGGCGTCTAACAGTCACCAAAGACCCGCCCATGGAGTTCCTCCCAGAAAGGGCCGGCAGGGAGGAGAGCGCGCGGTGGCTGTGGGAACAGAGCCGGCCTAGTTGGCAGATTCAAACAAGCTATGAGCAGTAAAAGCGGTTTCTCCCGGCCAGCCCTTCCTCTTGCCTTACTTCGGTTTTACCGGGTCCACAGGGGAATTCCTTACACTCATCACCACCACCACTGAAATAATGTAAATTAGTTCAGTTCATAAGAAGAACAGTTTAGGTTCCAATTCACCATTAAGAGCCAATACATTATGACAGCTACAAGACGAATGCATCATACATCCTATTTCAATTATCACAGGGCTACTTTTCCATTATCCATGAAATAACAAAAAGCTAAGAAACATGAAAAAATAATTTGCCAAACTCCTTTCAAATCAAAATAATAGAAGCTATTGCATAATCTGACATTCCTGTCATTAAAATGAATCAAAGAAAAAATGGTGCAGTGTTCCTTAATAAAGCCTTGGATAATTTAGAAAGGACACAACTATATCACATTAGTTTTTTATTTATTTTACATTTGGTATAGGTCTAGACATTAGTTGAAAACATGTACACAAAGAACTATACAACTAGAGCAATGATTTTACAATAAATAACACTTCACATTGGAAGCAGCAACTACTTATTCTGAAATACACACTGACCGAGTTAAAATTCAAATTTCCTGTTAGAATACACTGTTTCCAACCTAAATCAATAGTCCTTACAGAAAATAAAACATATACTTCTTTACTTTTAGAAAAATGGCCAGACTTTTATGCCCTAGATGTTTAATAAAAAATTTTTTTTAATTTTCTACTTACAAATTAGGCACTGCTGCTTTGATATATAATAAAAATAGTCTAGAAGAGATAGTTTATCATATGTAACATATACTACAAGATTCTGTAAGGAAAAAAAAAAGATTTAACTAATACTGCCTGAGGTTAAATACATGAATTATATATAAATATTAAATATCTTAGAATAGGTAACAATGCAAATAAGAGTTTAATTGTGAACATAATGAAGTTAACCCTATAATATCACAGTTTTACTTAACAATTAGAGAACAAAAATTCTACTTAACAAAAGGAAAAACATAATTCATCAAACTATTTTACTCTCAGTTTAAAGCAAATTATCTAGAACACATTCACTACATAATGGTTTTGAGCTTTTTATTTCTTCTGATCTAATTAAATTCTAGCAAATTACCAGAAGAGATATATTAAAATGCTGTCAAGGAGCAAAGATTTAACTTCTCATTTTTTTTTTTTTTAATTATAACTGGGAATTAAATTCACATAAAGAAATATGTTGAAAATCCTCAAACCTGTCATGGAATACTTGAGCCAAAGTGGTTTTTTTCAGTGTCTTCAAATTATATAAATATTTCAAAATGTGTTAAATGCCTATTACCATTTAAATATTTTACAGAACTGTATCTATTCTTATGTACACACACATACACACACACAATTTATACACAATTGGAAACAAAATGCTGAATTAGTCTAGAATAGCTAATTAAACTACTTAACAAAGTAAAAAACATTGAGAGCCAAAAGGCTAAAGAGTACTTTATTCCTATTACTCTTCTAGCAATCAGCTTCCAAATCCAGAAAATATAACTTTTATATTTGTTCTCATTAACAAACCTAGATTTTATTCCATGACAAAAACGCACATCTCAACATGCAGTGCCATCCATTTAATGGTTTAATACAGTTAAATGCATGACAGAGGAATACAGTACTTGAGTCAGTTTTGTCTTTGTTTATTTTTGACAGTAACAATTCAAGCCAAGTCACCCTCCAGAACTAGATGCAAAACAAGATGATACTCTGAAAAGAAAAAAACATTTTATGCTTAGGCATTTGGGGTTCTGGCTCTTTTTGTTGTCATTCTGTATTTCTGTACCTAAACCATCTTATAAAAACTGCTGCCACTGCTCGGAACAGCCATATTACCATTACCCTGCCAGATCCGCTGCCTTCCAGCTTCAGACCCCGGGAAGCCTGATTCCACAGGGCAGGCTCCATGGCTTCCCTAAGAGCCCTGCCGACCTGAGCCCATTGCAGCACCCATACAAGACAAAATAAACTAGCATCAGGCCTCTTTCTTGCAACTTCTACAGCTCTAAGAATCTCCCGCCACACACAACCACCACCAAACACGCACAGACACACAGTCCGGGAGCCCAGAAGAAAAGAGGAGGGGAAGGTAGGTGGAGGAAAAAGCACTACTAGAGAAAGTAGATCCGTGTGTAGCAGGCGCCTCAAAAAGGTGGGATGGATTTCTCGAAGCCCAGACGGGGAACCTTGCTACTGACAGCCAAAAGAGAAAGCCCCACGTTAACTCTTTGCTTACCGTTTACAGGAAATTTCCTCTCTACTACTTAATTGCAAGCCAATATTGTTTTTTCTTTTTTAATGAAATTTGTTGGGACGCAAGAATATAAAACAAAGGAAAACACATTTTGCATCACAATGTTAAAACCTTATATTAACCCTATCAGTACATTTTCAAATTCTTTCTAATACCCCTGGGAGGAGGAGGAGGTCAAAACTGAAATACTAACCACTGAAACCGGTCTGCAGTGTCTACCAAAAATGTCTTACTCAGGTTTCACTCTCCCAAAATAGAGCCCCTTTTCCCTATTCAACAAGGAAATTTTTCATGAAACAAGTCTACTTAAAATGCTACAGCCATTTTCACCAAATTTTTCTTCTTCCTTTTATTTATAGATATTTATCTTTTTCTTTTCTAAATACAAGTTTTTTAACCACCTTTCCCAAACCTCACAAAAAGAATCTGTAATTATGGACAATCACCCTCCTGCTCAATAAACAAACCAATCTTTCCTCCAACTCTCTAGTCCTCTGTGAAGCTGGCCAAGTGTTCTCTACTCCTGGCGCTGAACAAATTTTCAAAAAATTTTCTAAGTGTAGTCTCCTTCTGTGGTTCTAATAAACTAATCTGCTAGATGAAATGATGATTTAACAGTGGCCTAGGATACAAAAGAATCTTAGGATACAAAAGAATCCCTATTTTTAAATAAACAAATATTTCAGAGACTGTCAATAATGAGGGGGAGGAGGGAGAAGCGCAGGGTAAATGGGAGACAAGTTCCTGAGTTCATTTCTAGGGGCCAGATTAAGAAATTTCCTTTTTCAGATCTGGTACTCTGTAAAATCTTACCAACTCAAAACCCTGATTATAGATCATCATTTTCCATGCCATATTCTCCAAATACAGTGGAATATTATGGTGATTCCACTAAAATTCACAATGAAATTAAGGGAGCTATGATTTACAACAAAACCAAGAAAACCGTCTTTCTGAAAAGATGCTGACAGCGTGACTAATGATTGTATGCAGATGATTAGAGAAAATAACTGGAAAATACAAGCCTATTCTTTTATTACAACTAAGTTAAACATGTAATTCTGAAGAATCACCTACAATGAACTGTGAAATTATTTTAAATGGTTTTAGAAGACATAACACAGGACATTTTATTGGAATGTAATCAGTTTCAAATAATACACAAAGATTTGCCAACGGTGAAAACTACTCAATAAGACTTAAAAATACTTTATTTGGTGAAATCATTTCTATTATCAATTAACAGATTTCCTTCCCTTAATCATTTCTGGTTTTGGGCCCTCCACCCAAGCACAAATTAAGATGTTAAACAATGGTTTATTTGTATAACAGAATCTTGACAGTAGCATTAAGATTAATCAAGTACTATTAGCTTTAATTTAATTAACTTACTGCTTCCCTTCACCCATTCTATGGTTCTCCTCACTTCTCCCCTAATTGCCCCTAAAATCTTAAATATCACCTACAAAACAAGCTACAGACGCTGAAGGTACCGTGTAGTCAGGTACTCTGTGGAAGCATGAGTCTGTTCCTTAGAATCTGCCAGTGTCAGTATTAAGAGAGAAAAGGCAATGAATGAAAAATAGGAGATGTGTGACAGTAAGAAAATGGAACCACTCTGTGTTTATTTAACATGTTTATCTGTGACCCTCAAAATGTTTAACCATTTTTCATTAAGGCTATGAAATTAGGTAACTTCTCAATATTTTCACTGATAAGAGATTCATTGTTAGTCCGAGGTTATTTTTTAAAAAAGAAAAACAAAAATAATACCATAATTAAAAATTTGTTTCTTCTCCTAACTGTATGCCCTACCTTTAAGATAGGGAATGGGGCTAAACAAAAAAGGACATTAAAACAAAAATTAATTTTTGGCTCACCAAAAAGTCAAAAATCCTAACACACTATTATTCTAATCTATAAATATTTCTACCCCAAAATTAATTTTCTTTATAGTCAAAGGAGGCAAAATACTTAAAGCAAACATCTTAAAATGCTGTGTAAAGAATTTCTAATAATATGAAAAACATAAGAGCACCTCCCCCCATAAACAAAGGACAGAACATAATTGAGCAATTCACAAGAAATGCAAGTAGTAAAGTCAAAAATATTCAGTAGTCCTAATAATCAGTAACTACTATTTTTCAATTCTTAAACTAAGAAGATTGAGGTTTGAATATACCGTACATGACAAAGGTTCAGAGAAACTGGTCCTAACACACACTGCTACTGACATTATAATTTGACACAGCCCCTTTGAGGAGCATTTCAAAATTTTAATGAAAGTAAGAGTTCTTATTTACTTAGGAATTTATTGAATAGGCACTGTTCTAAAGATTTTTGAATAGTACCCTCTTCAATTCTCTCAGTACCCCTATGACAGGTATTTTATCACCATCCCACATTTTATAGGTGAGTAAACAGTGATATTGAATAGCTTATACAAAGTCCAACAACTAAAAAGAGAGAGAACCAGGATTTGAGACACAGCAATTAGACATTAGAGTCCACTCACCTCTAAATATGTATCAAGAATCATAAAATGCTTCTTTCTTTTAACCAATTGATCCTGCCTATGGAAATCTGTCCTATAAAAATAATCCAGAAATATGAAAATGACTATCTACAAAAATGTCTGCCTGAGCATTTCACATGGAATAGTAAACAAAAAAAAACAATAGAATAGTAACATTAAGGTAAGCAGAGGAGTAGGAGTGACTGGGGAATGTTTACATCAGTTTACTCAACGGAAATTTAAGCACCTTTCAAACATGTTATGAAGATTAACAGAGAAATTTTCTTTTACATGTTAAGGGAGAAAGTAGGCTATGAAATTCTTAATATACCATGATCAATACAATGAAAACAAAATATACATATGAAAAAAGTTGGAAAGAAAACAGATAAAACTAAGTATCTGTGTTAGAGTGGTGTGAAAAGAGATGAATTGTCTATCTTTTTCTCCATGTTCCACATTTTTAGTAATAAAAATACAACTTTAAATAGAATTTAAGTGATTGACAGAGAAGACAAGTAGTGACTACAGCATCTTACTATGCTGATGGACAGTGACTGCAATGGGGTATGGGGGGCTTGATAATATGGTTGAATGCTGTAATCACAATGTTGCTCATGTGAAACCTTCATAAAATTGTTTATTAATGATATCTTATGAAAAAAAATTTAAGTAACCGAGATAACAGATTCTGTATTAAAAATACACATATGATGATAGAAAAAATTCAGGCTCACACTGAAAAGACAATACTGTTTTGACATTTTCTTAAGTAGATATTCGAATTATATTTCAACAATTTTAGAAAAAAAATTATAATCCCAGTCATGCTAACTTTAAACAAATTCTATTTTAATTCAAAATTTCTATTTAAAGCTCAAATGTATGCCAACCTATCATTATCATCCCAAAGACACTGAAAGAAAAAGGCCTGTGTGTGACAGTGGCCTCTTTATAACACAGGTGAGTAAAAATTACCATTAACTGGATTAGGGTTCAAAAATACTAAGACTGGGAAATACAATGAGATCTCTTACGCAGACATTTGGTATGGAATTCTCGCAATAAGGCAGGCCTAAAAATAGTTTTTAGAACTTGAATGATCGTTAAGTCCTTCGCTCAGCATCATTTTCCAGGGGCACCACTGGCAGACACCAGGAGCCACAGGACTCTTGTCCAACACTAAGCTTGTGCATCGCTTTCACAGCCCAGCTACTGGTCAGACACTTCCTCTCTGCCCTGAAAAATGAACCAAAAAACAAAGGCGCTAAAAAGGAAGGAGCACTTGTAGGAGTAAAGGGCGACTACAGAGGCTAGTAAGTGCGCTATACAGTAAAGGCCACAGAAAAATAAAAGCAGAGAAAGGAAGCCAGCAACAGAAAGGAGAAATAACTCGATATAAATTATTTAGAAGGGGGGAAAAATCTACACTTCGGTTTATTCCCAATCTTCATTAGCCTTAAAAAGAACCAAACCCAACAAAACATAAACATAAAACTACCAAACACTCTGCATTCTGCTTACTAGGGATACAATGTTGAAAAATCACAGGCACCATGTTCAAGAAGCTCATGGTCCGATCTATCATCTCCCTCAACTGTGTCCTGGCTTACCGGTAAAAATCTTTAACCTTAGAGTAACAATTCTGTCTTCTATTGCAACATAAGGTTTGTCACAAGTACTTTCTCACTAATTATATGTAAAGTACTGAAATTTGTCATAGTTTACTTAAAAATAAATTAAGGTATCTCTGTAACCACCTCACTACCACTCACTCGCATTTCAACATGCTTTCCTGGGTACAATCATAACACACACTATTGTACAATGCACATTACCCACAGTCCATTGAACCCTGATTAACACTCATAAGAAAGTACCCTCCCTTGAAGGTCATTTGGTTAAGGAATTTCCTATAAGAAAAAGCACTGATACTGTGTTTACTTCCTAAATTGTTCCCTTCAGGGACTCAACTTTGAGGAGATAAAAACCTGGATTCCCTTTGCATCCAAGACAGTTTCCTTCAGAGGACACTTTTTTGGAGAGGAGGGTCTTATTCTGGGGGCTATGAATCCCTACAAAGCTTTTGGATAGCTTCAAGAGGGGCACTGAATCCTCACCCTTAAATTATACAAAATTTGTTTATTTATATTCATATACGCATTCTTGTGTGAAAGCGAAAATAAATCCAAATGGATCTGTAACCCCAAAGATGATTAAAAACCACCCAAGATTTAACTGAATCCACACTATGACGATCGGACTCAGATAACTTAAGTCAGATGGCATTCTAAGTGCGCTTACACAAAGCAAATGGAGCACCAAGAAATCTCTGCCTAAGTCACACAGCTGTTCTGTTCGAAAATTTTAAAACTTCTCAAAATGAAATATGGCTATTTGCTTGCATACACATTTCCTACTTCTCTTACTGAACATGTCTTTCTATTTACCCTCACCTAAATTAGAGAGAAAAATAAATAATTTTGTTGCCAAAGACTCTGCTAGGCTGCCAATTACATAGACAGATTACTCAACTCAAGAAAGACCTTAAGCACAAGTACTTACAGAGGGGCTTGATGGACATTTGTCCCAGAATAAAACTTGGTTTGTGATTTTTTTAAATTGAGCATCTGATCAGTTAAAAGTCCCGTTTCATTGTAGAAAATCCTGAAGAACCTACAAAAAAAACTCCACTGAAACTAGTGAGTTTAGCAATATAAGAGAATGTAAGGCTAATACACAAAAATTAGTTATATCTCAGGATGTGAGCCTAATCTCTCTCCCCTACTGCAAAACCCCACTGTAGTAGTCCCCCCCTGAATAAAGTCTCCCTTACCATCTTAAAAAAGAAAAAATAACCATTTGTATACACTGGCAAAAATTTATAAATGAAATGAAGAACAGCAGCATCAAAAAGAATTAAATACTTAGGAATAAATGTAACCAAAAAAAGTACACAACCTGTATACTGAAAATTATAAATATTGCTAAAAGAAATTAAGATCAAAATGAAGAGATACAGGATTTCATGTACTGGAAGAGTTAAGTATCAATTATCTCAAAATTTATCTACTGATTCAATGTAATCCCTAAGACACTCCCAGATTTTGTATAGAAACTGGCAAGATGACTGCAAAATTTACATGGAAATGTAAAAGACCCACAATAGCCAAAACAATTTTGGAAAAGAACAAAGTTGGAGGGATTATACTGATTTCAAAACCTACAATAAAGCTATAGTAATCAAGTTAGTGTACTACTGGCACAGACATACTAATCAATGGAACAAAAAAAGTCCAGAAATAAACCTACACATTTATGATTGAGTACATTTCAGTAAAGGTGCCTAGATAATTCAATGAAGAACAGTCTTTTCAACAAATGCTGCTGGAATAACTGTGTAATCATATGCAAAATAAGTAACTTAGACCTTACCTCACACCATACACAAAAACAAACTCAACATGTATCATCAACCTTAATGTAAAACCTAACACAATAAAAGCTTCTAGAAGTAAACATAGATCTTTTTGATCTTAGGTTAGGTAAATTAGATAAGACATCAAAAGCACAATCCATAAAGGGGAAAAAATTGTTAAAGTTGGACATCAGCAAAATTAAAAACCTTAGCATTTCAAAAGACACAAGTAAAATTTTAAAGAATAAGCCAAAGACTGGGAGAAAATACATTTAACTCCGAATCTTTAACAAAAATATATAAAGAAGGTTAAAAAAAAAAAGGCAGTAGTTGCCAGAGGCTAGGGGAAAGGGAGGGATAAACAGGCAAAAGCACAGAGGATTTTTAGGGCAGTTAAATACTCTGTATATTATAATGGTGGATACAAGTCATTATATATTTGTCAAAAACCACTGAATGTACAAACACCAAGAGTGAACCCTAATATAAATTTTGGATGCTGGATTTTAAAGATGAATCAGGTACACTCATCAGTTGTAACAAATGTACCACTCTTGTAGAGGATGCTGATAATGGGAAAGTCTATTTTGTGTGGGGGCAGGGGATATATGACAACTCTCTGTACCTTCCTCTCAATTTTGTTGTGAACCTAAAACTGCTCTTAAAAAATAAAGTTTAATACATACAGACATATATAAGAACTGTCACTCAAAAACAAGACACAAGACACAATCCCCTGTCCCCAAAATGATGAAAAGACTTGATCCTTCACCAGTTAATATAAAAATGGTAAACAGTTGAAAAGCTGTTCAACATCATAAATCATTAGGTAAATGCAAACTAAAACCACAGTGAGTTATTGCTACACACTCCCAAGAATGGCTAAAATCAAAAGACTGGCAATTCCAGGCATCAGCAAGGATGTGAACCTTCAAAAAATGCTAACGAGAATGTATAATGGTGCAGATATTTTGGAGGACTTTGGAAGTTTCTCAAAAAGTTAAACATACACTAACCACATAACCAAGCAATTTCTATTCCTAGGCATCTACCCAGAGAAATGAAAACACTTGTCCAAAGACATTTAAGCAAATGTTCATAGCAGCATTATTCAAAGTAGACAAAAAACTGGAAACAATCCAAATGTCCATCAACTGGTGAATCAATAAACAAAACGTGTACATTCAATACAATGAAATAATCTTCAACATAAATAAACTGTTGACATGTGCAACAACACAGATGAACCTCAAAGACACTGTTCCAGGCATAGGTCTAAACATTTGGCTGTTAGCTAATGGAGCACGGAATAAGTACCAGTTAGGGGCAAAAGGGCCGAGGTCTGATGTTAAAGTGTAATCTCAGATATCAAAATTGCCTATTGGCACCTCATTTCCTAACCTAGAAACTGAAAACACTGGAATAGATGATTCTGAGGTTCTTTCTAGTTCGCGGTTGGATATTCTAAAAATGAAAGTTAGGTAAGTATTTCTTGATGAAAAAGAGTAGAGTACATCAGTTTGGGTTTTCATTCTGGTTTTTGTAAGAAGACAAATGGGGTACAAACTCCCTGTATACCATCTTCCCAGTTGTTGTCAAGGCTATTTTTCTAGCCAAGATACAATGTTACTCTTCTGTTTAAAATCTTCAGTGACTCCCTATTGCCTACAATAAAAATTCAAATTTCCCAATTCACTTTCCATTCCTCATTTTCTCACATATTTTTTTTTGGACCTTTTTTTTCAGCTTGAGATGTAACTGACAAAATTGTAAGATTTATAAAGTGTACATCATGATTATTTGATATACATAGACAACGTGGAAGTTAACACATCCACTGCTTCACATATTTATCTTTTTTTGGTGAGAACGTTTAAGTTCTATTCTCTTAGCAAATTTCAATTATATAATATAGTGTCATCAATTACACATACCATGTTATACATTTGATCCTCCAACTTTATTCATTTTATAGCTAAAAATTGAGCTGGAGTTTCTTCAAAAGCAAAGACCAGAGTCCAAATCCAAAACCTGACTCAATCACTTACCAACGATGTGATCTTTCTGAAACTTGGCTCCTTCATCTGTGAAACTGGAACAAATGATTCTATTTCATGTGCCTATTAAGTATCAAATGAGATGACATAAGCACAGGCAGCGCTTCTCCCGTAAAGCCATGTGCTCGCAGCTCTTCACTCCTCCCATTCTCTTCAAGAGTATGTTTTCATTCTTCGAGACTCAACTCAGATGTCTTCTTTTTTCAATTCCCCTGCCTTCAGTTCTTCCTTCTCTAAGCTTCCTAGTACTTTGCACAATCTTTCATTACAGGATTTGTGGTTTTCTATTATAGTTTGTGATGAATTGGTAGAAACAGAGGGTAGAGACTGTGCCTCGCTTTGGTTTCTCCAGTGTACAGTGCATAGTAGATGCACAGTAATATCTTCCTTGGGTAACTAATAGAAAACAAATAGGCAAAGTCACCCTCGCTGAAAATAAACATACGCTTTCAGAACTTACTTTGAGAAAAACAGATTTTAAGTAACTACAATATCTCACTGACATTACATGGCAATTTTAATATCTGATTCCTTCTTTCCTTTTATGTGGGTGGGAGAAAGGAAGAAAGCATGAAGTTCAGTAGAGAAAGAATCAGCAGTCCAAGTCCTATGCCTCCTATTTCAACCTCGAGAAAATTTTTTTTATATTTAATAGTACTATTAAATACATGCCCTTAATTAATATGTTGTAGTACAGTCTACCAGATGGTCATATTCAATTATAGGTAACAAAACATACTTCCAAGTCAAATATGAATTTTTGGACTAAAATAAACATTACCCTGTGTGCTCTTCACCAAATATTTCCACTTCTCCCTTCAGAAATGTAAGATTTCACTTCCCTGCTCCTTGAAGTCAGGTGCTGTCATGTGACTTATTTAGCCAATGAAATGTAAACAGAACTGACACGCAGCACCTCTAGAGAATCTTTCAGAACCAAGGCACTATCTACCATGTTCTCTTTTTCCTGCCTTGGCAACTGTGGAGGGACAGAGACGGTGCCTCCCAGCCTATGTGTAGATGTTGTAGAGGTGAGGCTCCCAAGCCAGCCAATGATGAATGTATAGCATGAGCAAGAACTGTTGACTGAAGCCCCAAAGAAATTAAGTTAGGTCGTTTTTCACCCCAGCATATTCTAGATATTCTGACATAAACATCAAAAGGAGTTTAGCGTTTCTTAGCATCACCCCCATTTCGAGTTTTGAGAATGTCCTACACAAAGTTGGGGCTCAGGTTTATTAGCAAAGTTTTTAAATATGGCCTGCATTTTAAGATATTTGTAAGAACAAAAGATGATCCAAAAATTAGCAGAATAATCAAATATTTACAATTAAGACTTTAAAAACTGAAGTACTAAACGTAAAAAGGACAAAGAAGCACAGGGTAGTATATAAATGGCAGCATGCTACTACTCCCCTATTTGCCCAAAATAAATACTTCGACTGCTCTCTCACCTGCTGAGGATGACAACTAGGGACTCAGGGTCCAACAGAGTGCACGGCACGCAGTCGCTACCAACCTACTGGGGCTGGCCCCAAAATGAGATCTGTCTGCCGTCCCAAGTGGTTCGTATCATCTTTCTCACACGAGAGACACCTAGCCCTGTGGAGATAAACCAGGTCCTCGAGGTGGTAGGGACCGCTGGCTGCTTCCTCGTGCCCATTCCCACCCTCAGCAACAACACTCTAGGTCTACTCTAGGCAGCGAAGCACTCAGCTAAAGGGCTACCGTCTCGGCCTCCTCTTCAGCTGCGCCTGGCCATGTGACTAAGTTCCAGCCAATTACACACAGGCTGAAGCATATGGTTCTTAACAGAGTGTGCTAAAAAGAGAGACAGTGGCCTTGGTCTACTCTTCGCCCATTCTACTTCATGGGACTTGGATATGATGACTCAGGGCTCCGGTGGTCATCACAGAATCTGAGGGCAAAGGCCACACCTCAGAAATGCCCAAGCACTGAGTTAAGAGTCCCTGATGATTTTTGCAGCACAGAGGGATCATACCAGCCCTACCCTCCAGACTTTGTTGAGAGCGAAATAAACACTCCTATTCAAGTCACTATTATTTTGTCATTTTCTATCACATAAAAACAACCCTAATCCTGACCAGTAATAGAAGCCAAGTGTTCTGACACAGAATCTGTGAGACTCCAAATATATGTGAGATCTGTGTTTAAGTGAAAAAAGTAAAATCATACTTTTCTGAAGGTTTATATTCATATGTATCTTTTTTCACTATATATTATCTAATTATAGTCCAATCTACACGGTGACAACTACATTTTTAAATACCAAATAAACTGCCCAGTAATAAAAACCCATTTCTATTTCAAAATACCTTAGAGAAATGAGCAGCAGAGAGTAGGGGGCAGCTTCATTTATCTCAGTAAAAAGCTGGAAAACAATAATGATTTTCATGATTTCTATCTCAAATATTTTTGTTCATAGAGTACCTTAACTCATAAAACCATCTGCTTCCATTCTAAGTTGCTTGCTATATAACAAACCACCACCACATACACAAAAATTAAAACAACAACCATTTTATTTATTCATAGTTTTGCAACTTGGGCCAGGCTCAGGTGGCTGGTTCCTCTGCTGGACTTACTAGTGGTCACTTTCTGTAGCCGTGTTAAGAGGGCAATTTGACCAGGGGCTGAACTCCACTGGGGCACTAGAAGAGGTGAGCATCTCTCTTTCCACGCAGCCCCAGAATTCCTCGGTCTCTGCATGTTCTCTCCAGCAGCGCGTGGCCTACCTTCCGCCAAAGGGACTCAGGCTCCTGAGCATGCAGCGCCAGGCCTTCTTAAAACCTAGGCCCCAAACTAGCACAGTGTCATGTCTGCTGCATTCTACTGGTTAAAGTGAATCACAGGACTAGCCAAGATACATGGAAAGGTGACAATACAGTAACATGAATACCAGCAGGCATTATTCATTGAGGGTCACCAATGTAACAGACTACCTTCCCCCCCTTTATTAGCTGTACAGGCTAACACCCTGCTATACGACTTCAAGCATGCTATTAATTCTCTAGGGCTCAGCTGTCTATAAAATGAGAGGTCGGAAAAAATGTTTTGGGACTTCTCATCTAGTTTTAATATTCTGTAACTAAGTATGTAAGTCCAATAAGAGAAAAACTTGGCCATACTAAACAAATACTTCAGAACTATTCAGTGATGAGAGTTTAAAGGTAAAGAATATGGTTATTCTTTAAATGTTTCAGTGTTATTTTTATATACAACTGGATGCTTACTCCAAACACATGGTGCATGTCATTGGGACCCAAAGATCAGGAAATCAATGAAGTTTTTTCTTTCTAGGCTTCACTAAAAGATGGAATTAAGAACAAAACTACAAAGACTTCACTACGATCCTCTACTATGTTGCTTCTCATGTACATGGATTACACTCACATGTAAAGATTAAAAGTGACCCAGTATAAAAGACACATATGAAATCATTTTAAAACCACCTAATAGTGTCTCATTAGGGAGACTTACTATAAAACCATGGTCAGCAGAGTTGTAATAGAAAATGATCACTACAACAGCATTCAGAAGTTTGGGTAATGAGAATTTCTTAAATGATTCTGGTAATAACATTACTACATATACAGCTTCTAGGGAATTGCTTTGGCTGTTTGTCGTGTGTTACTCATAATAAGAAACAGTCTATAGAGGTTTCTACTGACCTAGCTTTTTAATCTTCTTTTTCTCTTTATTAGGGACAGCTGTACTGAAAGGAAATCTTTATCACCCACCCCATCCCCAGTAACTACTACATTATTTTATGCCAGGGCATTTTTAGAGTTCAGCATCTCATCATGTGTCTGTCACTAACAAGTTCTATGACATCAGGCGAACACTTGGCTGGTGATCATTGATGACAGTGGCAATACAGTAATAGTAAAGTCTTATACAGAGCCTCTTAAATAACACTTGGGTTGTGTCAGACACTGTCCTAAAATCTACATATATATTAATCCACAACAATCCTAAACCAGGTGTGCTAGTGTGACCACTTTGCAGATGAGCCAATCAAGGCACAAAAAAGTAACTTTCCAAGGTCAAACAGCTCACCAGTAGGGGAACCTGGTCAGGAATTCAGGCAATCCTGACTCCAGAATCTGTGATGTCTTCAGAACTTGGTTTCCTCATTTTTAAAAGAAGATTATAGTTATATTTTTAAACTATGAAATATATAGTTTTATATATTTTAACTATCGGCTTTTTAATTGCACAGATGTACAAATATATACTCAGAAATATTAATATTATGTATCCTTCCAAATCATTTTCTATGCAAGAAATATATACATAGTCTGGGTTTGTGTGCTCTTTACAAAATAGAGTTAGTACCAAACTTATTGCTTTGCAACTCTTGGAAACCTTTTCCTCAAGTCAGCAAATGTGTCGTAGACATTCTCCCACTCTGGGACCCACAGATCCCCCCTCTCCATCCTTACGAAAATCACACAGTCGTCCACTGATGGGTATTCCCATGCTGCCAACTTTTCTCTACCAGTTTTCTTTTCTCTGTTCCGTGAGCATCTTTGCATATTTGTACTGGGAATACATTCTGATTTCCTTTCTCATTTTTATAGGCTTTCTTGGTCTCCCTTTCCCCCATCTCCTAAGAGTAATTAAGCATCTTAATCCTTCTATTAGCTCCACACTCCATATTCTCAGTGATTTCAGGTAAATCACAACTTTAATCACCTCCCCAATTCTGGCTTCTAAACCCCAATCCTACATCTCAAAATATTCCAGGACATTTCTATCTTCTAGACATATATGCCAGAAATTTCAGAATTCTTCCTCGGCATTGACTGAAATCTCTTCTTTCCATCTACACTACCAACAGTCTGCCCTCTGCCTTGAGCACCTCTCACCTGGAATTACCTCTGCCTCGAGGTAACTCCTCTCCTCATGCTACCAGGGTGGTTTTCCTAAAATAGCCATCATCAAATCACCAAGTATTACAGACAGTACCTACACCAACTGTATAAAATGCTACCCAAAATACAAAGCAAGTTATGGTGTGGGGGGGATCATGGGGAAGACAGCGTAGTACAGAGAAGGCAAAGAGTGACTCTGTGGCATCTTACTATACTGATGGGCAGTGACTGCAATGGGGTATGGGGGGACACAACAATATGGGTGAATGTAGTAACCACATTGTTTTTTCATGTGAAACCTCCATAAGAGTGTGTATCAATAATATCTTAGTAAAAAAAATACAAAGCAAGTTAATAACATTCCTGTCCTCAGGAAGACTGCAAATATCTACTTTTATAACTTAAACAATAAAGTAAAATAACCTGGGCATAAAGCAGAGGTTGAAGAGCTATAGATCCACAGATTAAGCCTATACCACAAACTGTAGTCCCAAACAGTGTTTTAGATCTTAATTGAAAACACTTAAAAATCAAGAGATTTCACATAGAAATCCAAGTTTCCAGCCTCTGTTTAAAAAAACAGTATCTAGAAACATCTCACAGTCTCACATGCAACCACAAGCCAGAATTATCTATTGGCTACATCTGAGCAAGGCATAAAGACTCCTAGGACTCTCCAGGCCATTGTTCCTCACCATTTTCTCCCCAACCCTTGGTCTTAACTGTCAGCTGTTGTTCCAGATCTTACGAATTGTATGTAACCCATACCTACCTGTCCCTGTTTATAACCCCTGGACTATAAAATCCAAACTCATTACCTGGCATTCAAGGCCCATCACAGCTTGACCCCAACCCCCACATTAAGCCTGAGTTCTACAGCTACACTTACCAAAACACCTTCTAAGCTTCCCACCTCAATAACTTTATTCACATTGCTACCTGGAACACTCTCACTTTATTCTCACACTACCTGGCTAATTCCTATCAATCCTTCAAAGTCTAGTTCAAGTACTGCTTCCTCCATATCTTTGCGGACCCCTCGTGGCCACAGCGAACCTCCTTTCAGAGTTGACTGTCCATCCCAGCGCATATTTAGCACTTGTATGCTCTTTGAGTAACATGCCAAATAAAAGATGAAAAGTTACAGGAGGAGTATTTCTTGGATTTAAACTAATTTCAGCATTTCTGCTATCACAAAACTGACAGCAGAAGCAAAATCAAACAATTTTCCTATCTTTTACATGAGGCTTTTTCTAGAGAAAGTGCAAAAAGAGCTGTGTCATTCCCCCTTCCTTGTGTTCTTAAGTCCTTCAAATTTTGCCAATAGAGAGACTAACACTTCCAATTACAAACGCAAGATTGGTCTACTAAATTTTCACACTAACCACAAGCATACATTTATTTGAAGCCCATCAATCGGGAAGGAGGGAGGGAGGGAGGGAGGAAGGAAGGAAAATAAATTCATTCTATGTAACTTTTAAAACTTATATAGCCAAAAAGTTCTGAAAATAGACATTGCAGCAGAAAGTTTTTGAAGAGAGAAGGGATTATTCAGCTTGTTGAAATTAGAAGATGGACCAAAACAATAAAGAAAAAAGAAAGAAACACATACATGCTCTAACAGGAAAGTTTACTCTGTATCAGCTAAAAATTATGTCCAGTCCAAACATCTCACAGATCAAACACTTCATCATATCCTATCAAGGGTGTCTCACACCTCCCCACCAAGCCAGAGCAGAGAGAGAGCATCTAATGTTCTCTGTAATGGAAACTGACAGTTTTCATTTTGGAAGGTCAAACAAGTT